GGTTTCTAGTTAGGGCAACTGCCTTGGGTAGGAGTCTGCAACCTACAGCCAACTGGCCAATCTGCTCGGTCTTATTTTTGTAAATACAGTTTTATGGGAAACCAGCCATGCCCATTCTTTTACATACTGCCCATGGCTGCTTTGAAATACATTGACAGATCTGAGTAATTGCAGCAAAGACCCCATAGCCCTAAAGGCTAAAGTATTTACTATCTGGCCCTTTAAGAAAATGCCAACTGAGATAAATGATCATTATTTTCATTTATTGAGGTATTAACACTTACTAAACAATGTTCTAAATAATTTTCATATGGTATGTATGTTATGATACTCCATCCCAACTGGCAAACATGAAGTGTTGCTATTGTCCCATTTACAGAGACACGGATGTGACATTTTCACTCATACCCATAGCATCAGTTACCACCTCCATGCCACGGACTCCTCAGATGTTGACTTCTAAACCAGACCTCTCATCTGAACTTCAGACAAGCATATCTCCAACAGCCAGTCTCAGAGATGGCCCAAAACTCAGTATGCCCCAAACCAGATTCCTGCTTATCCCCTCAAACCACATCGTCTTTCAGTGTACCATTTTTCTTAGTGAATATCACCAACCAGAAGAGCAAGCCAGAATTGAAGGAGCCTTTCTTGGCACTTCTCTCTCCCTGTTCCTTCTCTTGTCCATTCTATTGAAAGATTGCTGAAATCTGGCTGCTTCTTTTCATCTGAGTCACCTACCACCTGCCAAGTCCATCTTATTAATAGGATCATCATTTATGTAGGTTCTGTAATAGCTTTCTTATAAACCCATTTCACTTCACCCAGACCCTCCTCCAATCTTCAAACTGCAGCCAGAGTGTGCTTTCTGTCCTGTCCACTTCTACCTCCATTCTTCACCTAATCTAACTTTCCATGGCTTTGCTTGTTCTTAGGATTCCCATCAGTTTTTATTGTGTTTTCATGTTGTTTCACTGTTTTTGATTTACTCTACAGATATGGATAGGAAAGCAAAAAATCATTTTTTTAAAAGATTTTATTTATTTATTTGACAGGCAGAGATCACAAGTAGGCAGAGAGGGAGAGTGGAAAGCAGACTCTGCCAAGCAGAGAGCCCGATGCAGGGCTTGATCCCAGGACTTGGGGATCATGACCTGAGCTGAAGGCAGAGGCTTAACCCACTGAGCCACCCAGGTGCCCCGCAAAAATCATTCTTGTCAATATACATGAAATAAATTCTGAGGGTGAAGGTTCAGTTAATTTATCTTCTCAATTGTGGAAGAAGCTAGTTTTATGTCCATTACAAATTGATGTCACTGTTTCTGACTCAGAAATGTGTCTGTTCTTCGAGTAAGTTTTAACATCTGCCTGGTAACTTCATTACAGGAATTAATACAAGACTATAGACTATAATACAAGTTCATTTTATATGTATGTGACAGTCATGCTTTTACCTTCATCAGGGAAATTATCCTTTAACTCTATGAGGCACTATGCGTGGTTGGCTGTCTGCCAATGCTCCCAGCCTCCCCCTGAACCCTCTGCTTTCTCCACTCCAGCCCTGGCTCTCTTTAGTTTCCTGTAAGTACCATGTTCCTTCTCCCCTCAGAGATGTCCTTTCTTGGAATTCACTTTCACCCCAGATGTTTTTTCATCCCTTCTTGTAGTAAATATGTTTTATCCGCCAGGTCTCTAATTAAGAATCCCTGGCTGGAAAGCCTTTCCAGACATTTCCAAGCGGGATACATTCCATTATTAGAGGCTGGTAAAACACAGGTGGAGCTTGTTACTTTTGCAGTTTTACATTGTAAAATTTATTGATGCTTTTCAACAAAGTAACATTTTTCTAGATGGCTGCAGGCATTGCATGATGGAGGTAGGCTCACACTGCATCCCAGCACCTAGCCCAGAGCCTTTGCTTTCACAAATGTTACCTACAAAATAAATATCTTAGATTTTTGGCTGTAAATACTGCTCAGGAGAGCGGTGGACTGACAAAATATGTTTTTGGGAGCCATTACCACATAGGATCAGCCATGAAAATGCACAGGAAGCATGGGGCACCTGGGTGACTCAGTGGGTTAAAGCCTCTGCCTTTGGATCAGGTCATGATCCCGGGGTCCTGGGATCGAGCCCCACGTCAGCCCCAAATGGAGCTCTCTGCTCGCCAGGGAGCCTGCTCCCCCCCCCCCCCCCCCCCCCCGCCCCTGCCTGCCTCTCTGCCTACTTATGATCTCTCTGTCAAATAAATAAATTAAAAAAAGAAAGAAAGAAAATGCACAGGAAGCAAAACCATTGGGCTGAGCAAAATGAAGGCTATTAGGAGCCTTGTTCAGGTGGAATAACTGGACAGGATCCAACTGCAGCCACTTGAAGTGGGAAGAAGTAGAAGCAGTTAATACAGATGCCCTTGCACAGTTTGGCTCTGACAAGATGAGAGGTACAAGCGGCACTGTGGTAATTCTTTAATAACCTCATTCTTGTATTATATATGCTTTCTTGACTGAAAAGCAAGGATTTACAAGTAATATGTAAAATAGCAAGAAAACTGGAGCTGTGTAGTATCTACCTTTAAAACAATTATAGGCTTTTAATGCATGTCTGGTGTAGTCAGTTAAATCAAGCTTTTGAATGCAAATCAATTGTTAATTCTTCAGCCGAGGGTTCCTTATTTTTAGGCATGGGGACAAGGTTGGAAAATGGCAGCCTTAGAGTTTAGTCTGTACTTTCTATTTTTAATTTGATTTTAAATTTCTTCAAAGAGACTGGTTTCCAGGGACCTGTGACCTGCCTGGGCTATCTGGTCTTTGGAGCTTCATAAGAGGCTTTTCTATGCCTTTTATGAAAGGAAAGGAGGAAGGGAAAAATGAATGTCTTCTGAGTTGATAAGATTAGAGCTATATTGTCGAGAAGGCTGTATGAAATCAATTCTAAAACCAGACCAGATTTAACCGCACTTACCCAGAATAAATGGCCCTCCTCCTTTCCAAGAACAAATCAGCCTAAGTCACCACTTCCTATTAGTTCTGAAGCCCAGAAAAGCTCATAACTTAGGCTGACGTTGCCGTAAGAGAACATAGCAGAGGAGGCAGTAGCTTCCTTTTCCCTTTCAAAGGTCGCTTTATCAGCTCTCTTTATAAATATTGCGCTCACGGGCTTACATCAGAAAGCTCGATTCGACTGGGGAGCTCTCCATAGTCTATTTTTGCCTGAAAACGCTGAATAGGGTGGGTCTAAGTAGCACCGGGGCAGAAAGAGCTCGTAAAGATATGACTGAGCCTGGGAGCCCTGCTACACCCCGCAACAAATCCACTCGAGTAGGTAATGCAAAGAAATTGAAAACCCAGACTGACGTTTTCCCTCATCAGTTTGCGCGTGCGGGTGGGTGGCAGATGAGAGCAGTGCCCAGCTGCCAGTCCTGGGCTGCAAACTGCCTTTAGTGGTTTGTGCAAGGAAACTCTCCCCTAATGTAAATTAATTTCCCCCAAGGTGGCCTTCGCCTGGGCCGAGGGGCGTTTCCGGGCCGCTGACCCAGGGGTTGTTTGGTAAATAAGGACGCTCATGAAGTGCCTGCATTTGGAAAGGCGCTCGCCTGCGGCGCGCATTCCCGTGCCCCAGCCCGGGACCAGGTGGCGGGGACGAAGGCTTTGGTTTTCCCCACTGAACCGCGAGAAGGACCCGACTGGTGGAGGCTCCTCCTCCAAGGATGCTGGAGGGACTGCGTCGTTCCCTGCGCCTCGCCCTGGCGCGGGGCCCCCGGCGGTGGCAGCCAGCGCCGCGCAGTCCGTGCGCCGGGGCTTGGCTGCGCCGCCAGCTTTCGCGTCCAACCGCGCGCTGCGTGCCGCCGCCGCTCTCCGCAGCCCCGCGCTCCCGGAGGCTCCCCATGGCCAGCCCGACCTGCGCAGCTGCGGCCCTCGCCCGTCAGGTACCTGAACCCGGGCGTTTGTGGAAGGGGGGCGGAATGGACCCGGGGTCTCCGAAGCCAGCCGGCCTGGTCGGGCGCAGTGCTGGCGTTTCCTGCATCATCCTGCTTCGCCGCGCTCGCCGTTGTCTCCACCCAGCCGTTTCATCCTTCCCCAACCCTAAGCGAAATCTAGACCTCCAGCCCGCGAACTCCGCTTTGGAGAGGCCCCTGCCCGCCAGGTCTAACGGCCCGCCGGTGGCCCGCTGTGGAGCGCGGCGCGGACAGCCACCGGGAACGCGAGGGTCGCCATGGAAGCCGCTTTGGGGGAGGAGGGGGAAGCGGAATTTCTGGGTGGCCAGAACTGACAGCCACATTCTCCGTGCTTTCACCACCCCCAAATATTTTGACTGCAGCCTTCTGCCTCCTTGGATCCCTCCCTTTCCCCCCCCTCTCTCACGTAGCTATTTAGCAGATTAGGATTTTTTATTTTTTTCTTTTCTTTTTAAAGGTCTGCTCCGTTCCCCAATTCGTCCCACTTCCATTGTGTTCTTAAGTATCTTTTATATTACTGCCTAATTCCCTGAGGTTTTGTCCTTAACCTGTGAGGTTTGGTGTCCACGCGCCTGCATTGCAGGACCCTGTCCTTGGAGAAAATGGTTCATTCTCTTCCTCATCCCTTTTCCAGTCTTGCTATTGTGCGCGAGTGATTGACAAGACCACGAGGCTGAGCGCGCCCAGGAGATTTTTCTATAAATGGCTTAAAACCCTAGTCTAGACTATTTACTCGGATATAGGGGGGACAATTACCTTCTTGTTCTTTGCTGGTGAACCCTGGCTCAGTAGGGCAACCCTGGAATTTAACCGGTTGCCCTAAGCCAGCGGTGGAGGACGAAAACAGCTGCGTTGAAGGGTAGAAAGTGAAGGACAACACTCCCAAGACGCTCTCCTTTGGGGCTGGTGCCTGGGTGCTTGAGCCTCCTTTCCCTGTTTGCTCCGGTACCTGAGCGGAGCCCGCGGTGGGATGGTAAGCGATCCTGATTACCCCAGGCCGCAGTTCCCACCTGGCTTTACTTAACGAATTTAATTCTTCTTTAAGGACTGCAATAACGGATGCTCCCCAGAATGTACTGGAGAAGCGGGATCAAAGGAGGTGGTGGGGACTTTCAGGGTAAGTTATTTGCCAGAGGTTAAGTGAAACAGCAATCAACTGAATAAATCTATTTCTTGTTGAGATTTGGGCAATTTTCACCTGTGGGTTATATAGTATTTTAGGTATGCTGCCATACATTTTAAATTCCATTCTTGGGGGGGGGTATCATTTGGGGAGCAGTAATATCTTCACATCTAAAATTACCAGGCAGTTAATTGTTTATTTCATTTCATGAGTCATAACTTTTTCTTGGAAAACGATTAATTTGTAAATATTCACCTAGAGGTTTATTTGATCGTATAAATAAGTATAACCCTTCACTAGTGGAAAAAGTTACACTTACCATTTTTCTCTTTAAAGCAACACCTAACATTTTACAGTAAATGTGTTGTACTTCCTTACTTTCTTTATGAATTATGGGGTTTATATATTAAGTAATCTCATATAACTTCCCAGATGACTAATGAGGAGAAAATGAGAATCTTGTAAAAGCACTTTGAAAATCATAAAAATTCAAAGATAGGGTGTATTATTATTTTCTCTATGAATCATTATCTCCACCCCACCCCACAGCTTTCCACCAACCAGGGAGGGTTTTTCTTCTCTTTATGTCTCCCTCTACTCTTCCTGCCTATTTCAGTCACTGTCAATTGTCATCCATAGCACAGAGTGTCCTAATGATCTCACATCCTGGCAGGGTTCAGAGAGGGAGTGGAAACTTGACTCATCAATTTCCCACACACCCAGCTCTTACTATGTGGTAGGCATTGGAAATCTGAGGATAAATTCAAGATAAGGTCTGTGCTCTCAGGATTAAAAATAATAATAAGAGATAGATGATAGATAAGAATATAGTAATTTCCTTACTAGGATAAGTTTTTGAGTTTTATTTGTCCATAATATTCCTAGTCATTTAAAAATAATATCCTCTATAGCCTTTTTTTAAATATTACTTTTTTTTTTAAAGATTCTATTTATTAATTTGACAGAGATCAGAGGTAGGCAGAAAGGCAGGCAGAGAGAGAGAGGAGGAAGCAGGCTCCCCACGGAGCAGAGAGCCCGATGCGGGGCTCAATCCCAGGACCCCGGGATCATGACCTGAGCCGAAGGCAGAGGCTTTAACCCACTGAGCCACCCAGGTGCCCCTCCTCTATAGCCTTATAGCTGATCTAGTCTACTCATCTAGTTTATGAAGGCCAAGTTCAGATACACTCTGGGGACTTAGATATTGAGATATGGATTCTAGAAAGAATGAAATAAAACAGACTATTTGATAATCTCTCAGGGTTATTTTATAGAGTAGGTATATTCCTCAAAGGGTATATAGACGAATGTGATTTTTTCCCAAAAGGCCTTTATATTTTTATACATAGAGAATTTTTATGAAGTTAAAATTAATTCATAGTGTTAGGGTCCCTGGGTGGCGCAGTCCGTTGAGCGTTGGACTCAGGTCCTGATCGTGGTTTCAGCTCAGGTCATGATCATGGTGGTGGTTGGGGATAAGGGTCCATTGAGCCCTGCACTGGGCTAGAGCTCAGTGGGGAATCCATCCGCTGGGGTTTCTTCCTCTCTCTCTCTCTCTCTCTCTCTCTCACATAAATCTTTTAAAAAATTAGTTCTTAATATAAATAATCTATTTGTTGAATTTAGATTTCTGTATATTAGGTTTTAGTTAAAGGGGGAGTGTACTGACATTCTCCACTTGTATTTACATATTAAAATGTGCTGTAATGGTGATTGTATTCACACTGCATATGTAATGAGGCAAAGGAAAAATGAAATTGATAATTTTGGGGGGAAATGGTGGGTTTTATAGGACCATTGTTGCTTTTGAGAAAAAGCAAAGTTTTTTTTCCTTTATTTTCTCCATTTGTATTTTTAAGTTGCCTTTTGAGTTTCTCATTGAATTTTCATACTGCATCCCTTCCCCCATCTTGATACAGTCCTTTTAAAGTGAGGTTGCAGTTTCCCAACAAGGCCCAAAATTGAGATGCCTTATTACTGGGGAATCCTACAGAATCTTTCTATGGACTTGAGAGCCTTCTGTGTTTCAAAGAGACCAGTTGTCTGTTTCTTCCACTTTCCCCTCCTCAGTAGCTCTCCACAGAGTGTGACACTCTAAATCTGCAATTCTCCCCTTTCTACCTTTCTATTAGACTAGATTTGATCTTCTTAAGGATTTATCTGTTTATTTGAGAGAGAGCATGAGCAAGCAATCTGGGTGAGGGGCAGAGAGAATCCACAAGCAGAACACCACCTGCCCCACTCAATTGACTGAGCCACCCAGGCACCCCTCTATTAGATTTTAAAAGAATATCTCTAATGAACTTAGCACCTAAGGCTTTCCAAATAGAGTAAGAGAAATGTACTTATTGTAGAACAAAGTTATGCATTTTCTGATACACTTGTAATGCAGAGATAGCTTTTAAACATTTACGTATTGTGTCCAGTGCAGAGAAGTACAGATATGATTTTGAGTGGTGAACAAGAGAGGTGGCCTGAATGCTGGCTAACACAAGCCCTCGGGTACAACCAGGTCACATCAGCCTGCTCTGGGCTTCCCCATTTCAGAGCAGATGGTACCCAAGCATGAATTTTGAGTTCGGAAGTTGCTGTTTTTAATATGCTTTGTTTTTGTCAATTATTTCTTGTCGTTTCACAATCCAGTCATTGTGGTCTTCCAGATTCTTCCACAAGCATATGGCCAGAAACATCCTGACTTTGAAGTTATCAGAAAACATGGAGCATCAGAAGGAGACAGATTAATTATGTAGAAGAAAGTGTCGCTTTACAAATACTGTTATTTTTATCCATCTTTGGAAAGCAAATGCATAAAAAGGTTTCTAAACAGTGATTGAAAACTGTTTGCAAAATGTGTTTCTTGTATGCCAAACAAAGATTTTTTTCCCCCTTAGAACTAGATTTCACATCTACTCAAAACCAGTCACAAACCTTCAGCTAATATTGGTTATTTTTGAATTTCATTCAGTTTACTGGTTGTTTTGATTTAATATTCTTAGGTAGTTTCTCTTGGAGCTCAGGTTAAAAGCTGTTAGTTTTAGGTTCTAGAATTAGAGAAGTTTTGTTTTCCTTTTTGTTTTGGGGGGGTTTTTTGGTTTGTTTTTTGTTTGTTTGTGTTTGTTTGTTGTGGGTTTTTTTGAGAGAGCACATGCACATTGGGGAAGGGTTGCCTAGGTGGGCAAAGAGAGGGGGAGAGAAAATCTTAAACCGGCTCCACACTCAGCCTGGAGCCCTCTATGGGGATCCATCACATGATCTCAAGATCACAACCGGAGCCAAATCAAGAGTCAGATGTTTAACTGAGTCACCCAGGCCCCCCAGAAATTGTTTAAAATGACAGAAATTAGACTTCTTGATGAAATTCTGAAGGCACTCAGGGCATATAGGGCATATAGGACAATCCTTATTTACAAATTAGAAAATCAGAGGGTTGCTATTCCTATCGTTAATAAGTCACATCTTACAAAAGGATGTAGTAGCTTACTAAAATAGAATACCTGGTAATTTAATCATTTGTACTCAATTTCCAGGAACTTAACTAGTAGTATCAAGTTATAATTACAAGAGCACTAAGTCCAGCATAAAAACACCTTGTTCTTTATCTTTGCCATTAATTAACTTGATCTCACAGGGTCAGTGGATCACTGTGAGTGGTGAGTAGTCCTAGAGGTATTTTTTTTTTTTTTTTTTAAAGATTTTTATTTATTGATTTGACAGAGATCACAAGTAGACAGAGAGGCAGGCAGAGAGAGAGAGGTAAGCAGGCTCCCTGCTGAGCAGAGAGCGCGATGCGGGACTCGATCCCAGGACCCTGAGATCATGACCTGAGCCGAAGGCAGCGGCTTAACCCACTGAGCCACCCAGGCGCCCCCTAGAGGTATTTTAAGGACAGTTCAGAAAAGTAAAAATTATGTACCGGGCTACTGGACCATGATTATTCTTAAAGTTGGTTCTTTAAGGATTTGTATTAACAAAAGGGTCTTTTATGAAATACAGCAAGTACACAAGATTTTTATAAAAACTACAGCAGTCTGTTTTGTTGAGAGATCCCAAACCATGAAGATCAATCCATGTTTAGCAAAAAAAAAAATTTTAAGATTTTATTTATTTATTTGACAGAGATCACAAGTAGGCAGAGAGAGAGGCGGAAGTAGGTTCCCCGCGGAGCAGAGAGCCCGATGCAGGGCTTGATCCCAGGACCCTGAGATCATGACCTGAGCCGAAGGCAGAGGCTTAACCCACTGAGCCACCCAGGTGCCCCAATGTTTAGCAAAATTTAGAACACAATTATTAGCACATATTTGATGTGTGTAATAGTTACTGTGCTAAATGGGAGTCCAGCATAATCTAAAGAAATGACTCCCTTTTCCAATTTTTCAAATTAACTAAAAGATTTTATAGAGCCAAACCAAACATTCTGGGGGTTGGGATGTCTATATAGAGGGCTTGTCTGAGCAACTGCTAGGCAGTTGGAAAAGCTGAGGATACCACCAGACTGCTGGGCCAGATGGGGCATTACATACTTCCTGCAGGAGGAAGTTTCCACACTTCCTCCAGGAGGACGAAAGGAGTGTGATAAACTGGCTACACCATATGTCTGGTGTGACAGGTGGAGGAAATGATAGGGAAGAAAAAAAGAGGTGATGGTGGGAAAGCATCTTTGGCAAGTTTGGTCCTTTCATGTTAAACAGAGGCATGTAGACAAGAATGCTTAAGAACTGGTCAGCATTCAGCCGCTGGGTCAGTGTGTACCCCTAGTACAGCCCACCCATGTTCCTTATTGACTTGATGTTCCTTGATGCTGTTTGCAGTTCTCTGACCTGCCTCACTAGCCTCCCTTGCAGCTAGATAGTCAGCGTGACACATGTCTGACCAAAAGGCATTTGGGTATTCCTGGGGAAATTTTGCTCTTGCGATTAGAGGGAATAGACTTGGCTGCTGTTATCCTTTTCCTCCCCTATCTTTGGACCTTGAAAATCATGAAAGCTGAAGCTACA